GCGTCGCAACGCCTTCAGCCCTGGATTGACATCTCCAATACTGTCCACCATGGCGATTGCCATGGGCTGGCACAAGCCCGACAATGTCGCCGGTTCGTCGGCACCAGCAATCATGGTTGGCCTCTTTGTTGCCTCGGGTGGTCTGCTTTTTGGTTACGACACAGGGTAAGCAACCTCGATTCCTTGCGACGCTCGACGATTGTATTCTTGAATGCGGGTTGCGATGAATGCTGGGGACTACACCACTGTTGGAATTGCGAACGAGCATGGATGCTGGGGGGTTTTTGGCTCTGAGGCGCGGCAGATTCGGTCATGGCGAACGAGGAGGACACGACCAAAAAAATTGCGATTATCGCTCCGAACTATGGATTGCGACTTTTGTGTCTTGGTCTTCAATGTCATGGAACGCCGAGGGCTAACATGGATTTTTTCTTGCATCTAGGGCTATAAACGGTATTCTCGCCATGGATGAATTCAAGAATCGCTTCGGCACCTGCGTCGATCATAAGATGAAAGACGACATATGCGCTGGAGACTCGGGTCTCATTGTCTCCATCCTCAGCGCGGGAACAGCCATCGGCGCTCTTCTTGCCGCACCTACTGGCGACACACTTGGCCGACGAAAGACGCTTCTCCTCGCTGTCGGCATTTTCTGTATAGGTGCTATATGTCAAGTCTGTGCCGATGCCCCCGGCGCTGTTAGTTGGAAGGTGGGCTTGCTTTTCCGGCATTATCCGATGCCACTCTGGCCCTCGCCTTTAAACGATGCTAACGCATGTCCTGATAGGTTCCTTGCTGGTATCGGCGTAGGGGCAATATCGCTCTTGGTTCCCCTCTATCAGTCAGAAATGGCGCCCAAATGGATTCGTGGTACACTGGTCTGCGCCTATCAACTTTCCATCACCGTGGGTTTATTATCTGCCTCCATCATCAACATCATCACCTCCAAACTCGGCAGCGCCGCTTCCTACCGTATCCCTCTTGGCCTTCAGCTTGTTCCCGGCATTATTCTCGCTGCCGGCCTAATGCTTCTTCCCGAAACACCTCGGTTCCTTGTTAAGAAAGGTCACAAGGAGGCGGCTGGCCTCTCCCTCAGTAGACTTCGACGTCTCGATATAACTCATCCCGCCCTTGTCGACGAACTCCAGGAAATCATCGCCAATCATCAATATGAGCTTACCTTGGGTCCTGACTCATACAAGGAGATCTTTGTCGGGTCTCCTCATCTGGGGCGTCGAACATTAACGGGATGCGGGCTCCAGATGCTACAGCAGCTTACTGGAATCAATTTCATCATGTATTACAGCACGACGTTCTTTGGAGGCACTGGTGTCGAGAGCCCGTACACCAAGTCTCTCATTATCAATGTGATCAATGTCATCTCAACACTTCCCGGACTATACGTTATTGAATCTTGGGGCCGACGAAAACTCCTCATTGCTGGCGCTCTCGGCATGGCTTGTTGTCAGTTATTCATGGCTTCCTTCGCTGCAGCTGCAGGGGATGACAATAAAAGCGTTACGACGACAATTCTGGTCGTATTTTGCTCCATCAACATATTCTTCTTTGCCGCTTCGTGGGGCCCAGTCGCGTGGGTCGTCACATCTGAAATCTATCCTCTCAAGGTCCGCGCCAAGGCCATGTCCGTGTCGACGTTTGCCAACTGGATTCTCAACTTTGGCATCTCCTACAGCACGCCCTTCATGGTGGGCAATGGCCCTGGGAATGCCGGCTTTGGTCCCAAGATATTTTTCATATGGGGATCATTTTGCCTCATTGCCGTCGTATTTGTGTGGTGCATGGTTTACGAAACGAGCAAGATCAGTCTTGAGCAGATTGACGAAATGTACGAACGTGTGGACCACGCATGGAACAGCACAACGTTCGAGCCAAGCTGGAGCTTCCAGCAGATGCTCAACGACGGGTGGTCACCGAGTGGCTTGCCACCCGATCACGAACTACAACCCACAGTATCACAAACGAGCGCCGATACTACACTGGGTGATTCAGGGTCGTCCTCCATTACCATGCATCACAATGATAGCATCAACAACAACGAGATAACGACGGCATCCGCAAATGAAAACAAATCAGCGATGCCAACCATGGGGCATGTTGATTTCAGTTATTAAAGACTTATACCCAATGTGGGGATTCATGTCATGTCGTGTCTATATTCATTTTCTGGTTATTATTTTGGGCCTCTTATGAGACATGTGGAATACAAGCGATGGAGTTTACGATGCAACGGAGTTTTACGGAGCTCGGTTTTGGCTTTGGTCTTATAATTATGGGTGGGTTTGGGATCATCACACACCGGCAGTACAGGTTCAAATGGATAAGGGGGCGGTATAAAAGGCACCCTACTGCTTAGGGCACCGGCTTTTGTCATGTGGACTTTTTTTTTTTTGGAGTTGTGGATGCAAGTGGATGAGGGTAACCTTGACTGACACTTTGGGTTTTTGGAAACGTCCACGGTGAGATGACTGGATTATGGTTCTGCATATTTAACTGTGAAATACCCTGTCCATGTGGGGACTTAATCCTTGATACGTTGAACATGATATTACTTTGGGCCTTGGGCATAACGAGGCCATGTTTTGGATAGCATATAAAGAAAAGATCAACTTCCCCCTGAAGAGTGTGTTATACGTGATTTCGGTTTCGTTTGTTTTGCATGCTTGATACCTTGATCCAATGGGGAAGGGCATTGATAACTGATACGGAGTTGGTGTCTGCCATGTAATCGGGGTAGATGTCACTATTTACTATTTACTGTGAGACAGAGACTTGACAGCCAACAAACCTGGTCGTTGGTAGGTCTTATGAGTTGAGAAACGCAAGAGACAGTGCTTATATGACCCTTCTAGCCTTGCCTCTTCAGTGCTCATTTGAATCATGCAGTTCTACGCAGGAGTTTAGATGCCTGGTGGCTGTGAGCAGTGAGCAGTGTCAATTTTAACTCCATCGACAGTGAATGACTGCCATGGTGATGCCTTCACTTCCTCTGAGATGTAGAATATATAATGCCATTCTATTCTATTACCATTAGAGCCACAATGCATTTTGACAAGAATTCTAAATCACCATTTCTGAACATTGCCGAGGTGGGCTTTTATAGCAAACGATGAGCAAGCGGAAGAAGAGCTGCTCCATTAAGCGTATGCTCCGTAAGTTTGGCAAGAAATGGAGGAGATTTGGGATTGAGGACACGTATCGGTGGTTATACCCGCACAGAACGACACCTAGAAGATGCAGTCACCGTGATTCCGGAAGCCGTTCGGGGCATGGGGATGGGAACCGCTCTAGGGAGCATTCTGGACGGGGAGGAGCCACAGGAGACACCACTCTGAGCGCCCGAGGAGGAGGCGTAATGGACACCAAGATGGGCATCGTTCTAGGCGGCGTGAAGCTAGTGCTCCGGTTGCTCCCCTGAGCTCTGTTCCTGGACCTCTTTACAGTACCCCCTTCCTATGGGCAACTTTATCCAGATCCCGCGGACGTCACCTACCAGAGGGATTTTGCCGTGAATCATGACCAAGGGCGCTCACATCACCGATCTTCTCGCGTTCCCGCTCCTGTCCCGGATCTGAATCCGGTTTCACCGAACGTTGCTTATACTATTTATACTCCGCCCTCGGTTTCTACTTACACTCCCATCCCGGAACCAGTTCCGCCAACCGTTGCTTATACTACTTTTGCTTCGCCATCGATTTCTACCTGGGATTATGACGGTCTCCAATACGCGCGAGCAGGCCTCCAACGGGAAAGAGGTCGACATGGAGCCATCGCCATCCCCCTCCTGCTCCCACCGCACCCTTGGCAGTTGGGGACAATGATTCAGTGTGGGGACGCATGCCAGCCAGGGGCACTCACCCACGCCCACGACAGCCGGCAACAGTGTCCGAGCTAACGTCACAGATTGAATACATGCATGTCAGAGAAGAAGAAGAAGAAGAAGAAGAAGAAGAAGGCGAGGCTTCGTTACCGGGGGAGCCTCGGACCCCCGAGGAGCTGGAGAGGTGGAGAGAGATGGAGAGGCGAGGGAGGGATGAGATGAGGACGAGGAGGAGAGCGAAGAGGAGGACGGAGAGGTGGGCCAGGGGTGGCGGTATTTGAGAAAAATGAGGATATGAGAACAGTGAGTAGAAATGGAGCTTTGCTTCATGAAAGGTACTATGTGGTAAGGGGGTTTTAAGGGGCATCTATGTCAACAGGGCGGAGCTATCCGTGAATCCCCCCCCGGGTTCAAGTCAAGGTGGGGAATCAGCGCAACTTTGCACATTCGAAAAGGCACGCATTAGAAAAAGCAGAAGAATTAAAGATGTACATGATCAAAAGAGGGACTTGATACCGCAATGGCACTGTGAAAAACAATGTTTGCCTGTTTGCTGGGGGGAAGATGATGCAAGTTTTTCATCCCTGTTGGTAGAAGCAACCCATGTCTGTTTGCACATTTATTTACCAAACAAAGCTTCCGCCACCCACGGCTCAAAGCACACAACCTTTGGGATGGGGAAAAGCAAACAAAGTCATGATCCGGCGGCTACATGTAAGAGAGAGAGAAAAATAAGGGAGAAAGTGAGAGAAGGAGAGAGAGAGGCATGAGCAATGACGGTGGGTGGCCCGAAAAATCACGGGGTACTGTATCACGAGACAAGGGTTTTGTTTGACGCAGGTGATGGATAATCCCTGACTGAGAAAGACAAAAAAGAGGAAGAAAGAAGAGAAAAGAAAGAAGAAGAAAAAAATAAGAAAAAAGGAAAAAAAGTGTAATTCCCGAATAGCTTCAATCAGGGAACACAACCTCCCCCCTTGCGACTACGACTAATATTTTGAGACATCTCTCTCATGACGAAAAAAAAAGGTGGCGGATGTCGAACATGATGATGACATGCGTCTCAGAAAGCCTTGAGTCTGTCACCACAAAAAAACAATGAAGAAGGAAGGGAAAAAAGAGAGACAAAAAAAGGGTGCAGGGAAGAAAAAGAGGAATCGAATCTCGAAGGACGGAATCAAACCGCCGACATTTGGATTATCAAGTGTTTAAAGCAATTGCAGTCCAACGCCATAGCCAACTAGACGACTTCGAGTGTTATACACACTGTGTGTTTGGAAAAGGCCAATGCGGAATATGAGTAAAACCGCCAATCCAACGGAATCAAAGACGAGAAGAAGAAGAGGAGGAGGGAAGGAGAAATAAAATCAATCAAGAAAGGGACGGGGGAAAGAAAGAAAGAGAAAAGAAAAGAAAAGTAACAAAAAATGTAACTCTTCTCCGAAGAGAAACTCTCCGGGAGCGGATTCGAACCGCTGACATTTGGATTGCTTAGATGAAGCCCATTACAGTCCAACGCCATAACCAACTAGACGACCCAGAGCAGAAGAGTTATCAGCATCTGACCAATAATACACTATAAGCCCTCGCTCTACCCCGTACCCACCACCCATTTACTTCCTTGGTAAGCGACAAGAACCTTGTGAACATCCCATGCCTCCAACCACAAGTCCAAGTCCAAAACATCCTAATTTCCCTTTGTTTCCAACCACACACACACATACACACATACGCAATAGCTTTACTCTCACAATGGCACTCCGTAGCACATACACAAATACACAAATAGCACGGTTTTTTTTCTTTTTTCCGCCACCAAGCAAAGCAAGCAAACATTGAACAACCCCTCCCCCTTCATACATTACGCACTGGCATTTCATCCCCACCTCAACAAAACTTCAACCTTTTGGTTTCCCGGATGCAAGACTGCCGGAAACCAGGTCTAATTCCCAAAAGGGCCCATTATCCCTTCGCCCCCTTGAAGTCATGCGCACAAGCTTGGATCCACAGCAAACTAACTCGTGAAACCTTTTTATTTTATTTTTATTCTTTTAATTATTATTACATCCCTTCCTCCGTATCGAATCGAAACACTCCCCAAAGGGGGAAGGGGGGGGACAGATACACGGCCCCTGCAAGAAGCTGCGAAACGAGCCGCTCCGCCAGTTTGACGCCTGCATCGCTCCCATCCGTGCATTGCATTCTTGAGTACCTAGTAATAAGTAGTACTCGTAGTATCCTTTTCGTGGGGGGCAAAAATAGACTCTTCCCTTCTCCCTTTCTTACTCATATAAGCACAACTCATGTGTCTCTAAGCCAACTTCATCTTGTTACTAGTAGTCGGTCATGCGCACCAAGTACACGGGCATCAACCTACAGAAGAAACATGCATCATGTTTCACTAATTCACTTTAGATAATGTACCTATATCCGTGACAGGTGACAGGTCATAGCAAATCTGTTGACTCTCATTTTCCCTTGTTCGCGAGGAGATGCATTATCTCCGATTCATTTCATCACAATCCCCTGGTAATATACAATGTGCCTTGGTTCGTTCATCTCAAAAAGGCCACAACGTCATGGAAAAAAGAAACTCCCATCCCCCCCTTCCCCCTCCTCAAACGCCCCAATAACTCCAATGCAAGTCGGTAGTTTTACAAAATACATGTATACAGAAGAAAAATCATCATCGCTTATATCGATTGTCTCGTCAAAATCGTTAGATATTACCCACACGCTAATAGAAACCATGGCCTTTTTTTGTTGTTAAAGTCGGCATAATCACCAACACATCGTAAATGATTCGCCTTCTATGGGATCGGATGGGTGCCATTTGCACGCTGCAAAATATGCATTCGAAGATTGTTGAGCTCGGCAGTGCGTCCGGCAAAGTATTCGCGCCTTGCGTCTTCGCTACCGTGAGGATAGCCAGAGTTGCTCCCCTGCTCCTGTGTTTGAGAATCAGACGTATGGCTGTGCTCTCTAGATCGCGAATCGTTTGCTTGCACGTCGTTGATGTCCTCGTCCTCATACACTTCGGGTGCCTCATCCTCTTGAGGGTATGAAGTGGGCAATATGCCAACAATGGCTCTGAAGCTCCTGGAGCCGTGTAGGTCGCGCCTATGCCCTTTTCGTCGGCCAGAAATGGAGGAGGCAGACGATTTTGAGCTTGGTCTCGACACTGATTTCCGCCTTGTTTTTGTTGTTGTTGACGGCCCGAAGCTCTCCAACGCCGGTGGCGGTGATGAGGAGCTCGTCGCGCTACGATCCGTATAGCCATGTCCCCAGCTGTCAGCCAGCTGATGTTGAAGTCCCGACTCTTGCAGTATTTCGTAAAAGGACGATGCCATGCTGCAAGTGCCCGCTCCATTGTCTACACCCAAGTCGTAGTTGTAGCTGTGGGTCCCCTCCAAGTCATCGGCTTCCCTAGCTCTCTTTTTTGAGGAGCAGTTCCAGCTTGTTGCTCCTGCGAATCTAAACTCCATGTCAGTCGTCCGTGATGTAGTGGTACTTGTATATTTATGAGGCATCATACCCATTGTCTCGAATGAGGCTGTGGAAGAAGGAGGGGGTAAAAATGGTGAGGATTGCCGTTCATATTTGTCACAGTGCAAGGGACGGGGACGTTTCAAATCTAAAAATTCGACACGGAAACAACAAGCAAAGGAACATGTAGTATGGGTGACGATGAGAGAAACAGAGGCAGGGCATCAAAATCATTTTGTACTTGATTAGGCCAAGAATTAGAGACATGGTGTGTGTATGTGCCTGCAGTGGGGGGCGAGACAGCCGTCCTCAAGCTTGTGCCGAATTCATGCGACGTGGGGCCTGACGTGGGCACGGCATGTACTCCGTATACTTGGTAATATAGGAAATCCACACAAAAAAAGAAAGGGAAATACTATGGCGTGCATGACGACGGACGGACGGAATTCAGCCGCTGTAGCACCTTGAAAGAAAGGGGACGGCGTGCCTGGTCGGGAGAGAGGGAGGGAACACCTTGTAACAAGGTAATAATACTACTTGCAATAATCAATCATGATGCTAGCAAGTCGTATAATGTGGACCAGCCACATCAACGTGCAGATTTTCTTCAATGCATAATCCCAAGCGAGACAAGAACTCGCTTTGGAAGAATCCCTAAAATCGGCCATTTCCTAAATTGCTCGAAATAAAGGGCCACGACATCGGCGAGGGTATGAGTTCCGAAGTCGAAACATGGCGTAGGTCTGCATTTGCGCGATGCAGGCTAAATGATATATGATGATGGATGGTAGGTGGTACGTGATGAGTGATGGGTGATGAGCGATGGGGCCTTGTACGGTGGTCGTACCTCAGGTATGCACCACAGGGCCGTGCCATGTTGGCGACCAACAAAGAACCATGCGCAGAGGCAATACACACAATTCATTCGAGGAGAGGGATCGACCCAAGGCTCGAGCTCGTCCATCAAGCCTCTCAAGGGAGAGAGTGAATGAGCGACGACGCCTTGCGGACAGTGAGAAAATGGTCAAGGTTGCCTGTCAAGCATTGGCCACTCATCTCATGGTTCTGCAGCCTCCGCATGGCGTCGGCCATAACTAACGGCAATACATGGCGGTATTAAGCTACCAGGTAAGTGTCATATCAAGTAACCATAGCGAAGAGGAATCTAATGCACATGAGCTTCAGGCACACACACACGCCAAAAAGACGACTGCATTATCGCCGTTTGTCGGTGCGGGTGAGGTCAAACGCCGTAGGAAGCCAATCGAGGGTGGGACAGCGGTGTATAGCGCCATTGGCCACTACATACATCGGCCGATAGAAGCGGATAAAAAAAGTGGGAGAGCAGCTTCGCCGACGACGACCAGACATCAGGCCACTGGAGGTCGGTCCGGAATCAATGCTGGGGCCGCCTAATGCATACCTGTTGTCTCCGTGTGCACTCCGTGGAACGTCTGCGCTCAATCAGTGGATCTGTAGAGGGGGAGGGACAAAGGCCAATTTGCAGGGCGAAAGACAACGCCTGACCGACCGAGCGGACCAGGGGGTGCGTGTCCTTGCTCAATCATGGTGGCATACGTGCGTATGTGTCTGTGTGTGTACCCCCGTCCTTGTTGTGGCACCACATGCTCATACCCATCAAACCCAAATTTGTTGGGTTTACCCTATCACGCGTGCAATCGGGGCGTTTGTAATAGTCGAATGTACCCATCTCGAAGCCCTGAGGACATGTAAGAGGTGAGTGTAGGAGAGGGGGTGATGTGGAAAGCAAGGGGATGGCAAAGGGGGAGGGGGTTCAAACCTGGTCGGTGTGCTTCTTCTGCAGTACCCTGTTTCAACCGCCGCCACACTCCCGGAAAAGTAGTGACGCAAATCACAGATGCATGGGAGGGAGAGGAGAAGGGGCACTGGCTCGGATTCTTCATCAAGACGTCGTGCATCAATCTGCCTGCCGAGTTGTATCGTACCGATAGTCCAAGGGGCTAGAGGTAGATACTAGGTAGGTAGGTATGCAGCGTAACAGTTTGCGCGCATACATGGACTCATCAAGTTGAGGTGCTGCTACCTCATCAAGTAGGTTTTTTTTTTGGTTGCAGATCTTTCATTATTATTAATCGGCCGCTCGGGTAAGGTGCGGCCGAAAAATGAATCCCGAAGAAGGAACATCATGATAAAAAGGAACGTTCCAAATACGTCAACCTTCCACGACAGGATAAGGTCAGCTGAAGTCTACCGTGCCTTCCTAGTAATCGATTCGTCACAATCATTGCCATGACAAGTACCTAGGTAAGGTACGATGGCACTGTCAGATTCATGTCAATCATCCACCACAAATCGCCTAATCATTCCCTTCAATTCTCTAATTCTCCTCTCCTATCCGCCTACTCCATAATTACCCTCCAAAAGAACAGCTTGAGGCTGCCTCCCTGCTTAGCTTACCCACTTGCCCATTCGAGGGCGTTGGAGGGCGTCACCGGCAGCCACTACCGAGACGCCTTGGCCATCTGACCACGCACATCCTATGCAGGTTGATGAGAAATTCCAACATCATCGTCGGTTTTTGCATGCGGCCTCTACGAAAATTGCAGGGCGGTCATCGGTGCTAAACGGGGTAATTTGCACACTCGTCGCTGTACAGCTCACAGCCCCTAGCTGGCTGACTTCCTGCAGCCTTTGTTGCATCCGCGATATTACACAGCTTGAGCCTTGCAGCAGGAGGCGAGCATCCGCCACAAGGGGCAGAGGGTACACAGGGACAGAGACTGGCCGACCTCATCTTATCCCTTTTCTCGTTTCTGCCCCCTCCCCTCACTTTTAAACCCCCTTCCCCATGATCCATGAACCATGAACCATGAACCGCCCTTTGCTTCTGCCGGGCTTCCCCCGCGGACACAGAAATGATTAGTACTACTCCGTACTCCTACCATTAGGGTATGATTAATTTGAACCCGCTACCATCCTGTCGGGTTACACGAGGTAACAAAGTATTGCTCGCTTATTACCTGGGCGGGTTCGGTGAAGAAAAACCCCTCAATGACACCTGCGATGTCTGAGACT